CAAACATTAAATCCTGCACACATATAGAAACAAACATGCCCATTAATTGGCCACAGAAAATAAATGAGGCAAATTTTGAAGTAACCCATCTGCTGCTTAAACTCAATCATGCTAATCAAAGTCTCAAGGTACAGCCACAGGCTAGCTGTGAGACATCTGAAAGTAATGGCAGACCACAAAGCAATTCTTCCAAATGGTGCTCTGATTCAAAATTGCCTCAGAAAGAAATGATAAGCTTTACTGACTACTGAGTTATGAAGAGTTCTCACAGGCACAGCAAAGTCTAACAGAGAACCAGCTAAAAAAAATAAGAGAGAGAGAAAGACAATTAACAGCTGCCGGAGCTTCAGGATCCAATTATGTCTGGCCTCAGCTGCTCTGAGGAGTTGATAATATCACAGTAAGCGCAAAAAAAGTGTAACAGGCATCATCTGCTACAGTGAGTACAAGTTTGATCAGGAGTGTGGAGAGGATGTTGAAAAGGTCTGAACTGCTTTCTCCTTACAATCTTGTCACGTCTAATTTAACTGATATTTGAGGGTAGTGTTTGATAAATAATTGCTCAGATATTTGAGCATGATGATATTTAAAAGTACATATTTTGATCTTTCACTTGATTTTCCTGTGTTTTGACTGCACAAATGTTCATTGAATTGCCAGAATTCAGAGCAATGATACAGTTTGTGCTCAAATTCAACTCAACCAGAAAGGAATCTCCTCTTTACGAAAGTAGGAGTGCTCTTTTGCTCATACATAAATAAAAAGACTGATTTAGAATAAATTGCTGATTCATGGAAGTGCGAGGAGCTATTTGGTTCTTGGTTAATCAAACAGACACAAAACAAAAACTGACGATAGCTTGTGAACAGGGATGAGCTACTCTCAGAGCAATGTTTGCAGTGGTGTTCTCTCAGACAGAGTGAAAGTAAGCCTTTAGCTTATCTGAAGGATCTTTTATTAATACAATGGCAATCCTCAGGATTTACATTTGTATGCAAAGTGAAAAACATACATTTCAACAACAGAAACACAAGCTAAGATTATTGTTAATGTGTTTAAATTGTTAAATATTGTTCAAAATATGCATACACTGGTTTGTTGGTTAATGAAAAAATTGTCAGGCATGCTTGATCATATTCACTGTGGTACGTGGTTTCTTCTAAACTGAAGGTGAACAATACAAGAACCACATCTATTGTCTCACCCCCCAGCACACAAATTGCCTGTTCGAGCCACCATCTTCCATTTATTCCACTTTATTTGCTCAGTGACAGACCTGCTCTCACTTTCCCTATTCTCCAAATCCTTAAATTGCTGTATAAACCTGTCAGTCAGTGTAGTAATAGAAGGGACTGTAGTTTGTCATTTTCTGCTCTCCAGCCAATAAAACCTGAGCCCCCGACCGAAGATGTGATGTCCTTTGTGAAAGCCTTTTAGAGGGACCAACAAGCAGGTGGAAAAAAAACACAGGTGATCAATATAAAATCCAACTGAAGACTCTGATTTTTCTCCAATATGCTCACCAAAAAGCCAAAAGGCGTAATACAAAAGTTAATTTACAACTCATTAAAAGAAAATGAAGAAAGGAGTAAGAGAAATATGAGCTGATGGTTGCAGAGACAGGTGAGGATTTATGTAGCGTGTGCTCCTTTAAGTATCTAGACTGCAATGGTTTTGCCACCACTAAAATATGTGTAAGCAAGAAAACAGCTTGCAGATATGGAAACTGAAATGCTTGAAATGTCAACCCACAGTATTAGTGGGGTTTTTTGCAACATCAGATCTGTGTAAAAAACATAAAACCCTGTAAATCTTGGTGTAGCTTTGTACCGATCAGTGCACAATTTCTTTGAGTGTGATTCGCAAAAAAACTCCTACATTTTGCACATAACTTGAGATTTTTCCACTGATTAACCACATGTAGCACAAGTGGAGTGTTGTGCGTACCCATCTACAAATTCTCAAATGATCAGTTATGTATGCTTGAGTTTTTATTGTCTTGAAATTTGTTGTGATGCAAAGATGTTGCACTGGAACTTATTGCGTCACAGGGTGTAATAACAAACTTGATGTTATGTCGGGTGTGGTTTGGACTCAAGAGCAGACAGAGACAGCGAGTTGAGGTTCAAAAGAGGGTTTTAATGATAATATGGTGTTTATTATCTGGAGCAGGTCTGCTGGATCGAAGATAGCGTGGTTGAATTGAGGTCCAGTTGTAGTGGCCTTGGTGTGGCAAACAGAAATCCCAGGCACACTGGAGTGAGAACAACAATCTGGCGCTGACAGTCAGGTGTATTTAAGCCAAGGCTTGATTGGCAGATTGGCAGCGGCTGTGCCAGGAACCTGGGAGGACCACACACACACACCACACACACACAGAGACCACAACACACTCACAAGACTGGTCATGGATAGACCGTGACACTTGACCTGCCATCGCCAGTAATTAGTCTTCATTTTGTGTTCACATCTGTTTTAAACTGTCCTTGTCCACCCCTGATGCTGATGAGCTCAGGCAATATGAGTTATACAACTTAAGTATATGGACAAAAAGAATCCATATTAGCTGATACAATAAAATTCAATATACCTTTATGTTAAGGAAAGCATCTACCAGTGGAGCCTCTGCTAAAGCTGCCTGCCATAAAAATTGTGTAGTTAGGCTTAGGGAAGCTTAACATGTTGCTGTCTCCCTAGAATAGCAAATTCATCCCCCTGTTAATTAAGATAATAAAAATAAAATAATTTCTAATGGCGAGATAATGCACCCTGGATGGTAAAAAGAAAAGACACGGTGCTATTGCTTCTGAGTTACATTGTGGTTCAGTGAGCTTTGAGATGGTTTAGAGTTTATAGTTTTGTTTTCATCCCTCAACTTGTTCGTGTGGCACAGGCACTGGATGCTAAAGCAGTTTCATACATATCTCAGAAGACATTTTGAAAGTCATGTTCTGGAAAGTTGAGGTGTTCCTTTAACACCTTAGAAAGGACTACTGAAGCTCACAACCTATATACCAATGAAATGATTTTAAAGGAATAGTTTGACATTTTGAGAAATATGTGGTCTCTCTCTCACACCACTCTGTCTAGGTAATAGATATGAAGGTTAGCTTAGCTTAGCATAAAGGCCGGAAGCTCAGGGAAGCAACTAGCCTGGCTCTGCCCATAGGTTAAAAAAATGGTGACTTTTACTTTTGAACAGAGTCAGGCTAGCTGTTGCCCTCTGTTTCCAGTCTTTATGCTAAGCTATAGATATACTATTGCTTTTAATCAAGAAAATTCAAGCAATGTTCTTTGTTTTAATTATTTTGAATATCAAATAAATATGTCATGCCAAGCTAGTTATATGCCAATACTCCTGAAATATCCATGGTCCATCACAGTCAAATGTACTAAGCATTCACTTAACTATGTAATGTGACACTTCCTTATTCTGATGTGTGTCAGACAACCAGTGTGTCCTCAAAACCACATTATATTGCTTATCCTAAAGACCTATTGTCTCTTTGATTTGATTTGATTTTGGTTTTATTATTGGACAGTAACACAAATAAATGCATTAAAAAAATCCACAGTGACAATATACATTCATCAGAACTGTCGAGGATAACACAAGAAAGCTACAAACTAATTTCCATTGTGGTTCTCGTTGTAGTCTGAAAAAAATGACAAGGCAAGCTACGGATGGCCGAAGGTACTCTGTACAATCAACCCTTACAATATACAAATAAAAAAAGACCTAACACATCCTCATACAAATAACAAAATACATACCTAAACACAAATACATACACTTAGAATAAAAAATACTCCTTCATACTGAATAAAAAACTCCATCTAATTAGCATTTAACAGCCATTCACCACATGTTCGATTAAAACATCGATCGATCTTTATATTATATTTATATATAGTTGACTTGCTTACTATTCATTTGTCTATAAGATAATGTAATAGTCATGTACTACAATTACTGCACCCATATTAGGTCCGTTTTATCCATTAAAGTTCATATCCCCTGCCTGATTTATGGTGATTGTGACACAGAGTTAATTGCCACAGCATCACTAATCACCTTCTGTTCTGGATTAAAATCAGTCATGTTACAGAGGCAGTGGCAGGTAGCGGCAGTATGCTCTGTACCAGCTGAGATTACTGTTACATTTACTGGAGAGATGAACAAGTTTTAGTCGTTCTTTCAGCCTCCCCTATATTAAAGTGACTATAAATGTATGCTTGGCTTTTGTCAACCTGAAGTCAACATGTGCCACAACCTCTCTAATTTCATTAGTTTTACCTCAGTAATCAGTACATCATTGGATCATTTATCATATGAAAGTGATGGTTAACGTGATATTCCTGAGGACAGACAGACATGTATTGTTCTTGGGCTGTTTGGAACAAGTAGTGAAATGAGTACTGCACACAAGAGAGCACCCCCAGTCTCAGGAGAGTCTTCTTGGAGCTAATAAGAGGATCCCAGAGGGGGTCTATGGCAATCCCAATCACTTCAAGCTGCAACCCAGAATAAACGAAGTAGCCTATGTTCATCTAGATGTGGGCCAAACACAGATGTTTCAAATATGCACATTAGCCAGCAGTGTAGCAGGGGGTAAATCCCACCCCTACACCATAATAACACAATGTATGTCATATAAAGTGCAATTAAATCGATGCATGTTAAAGATGGGAAACAAAGAGCAGAGCATGGGTGCAGTCTTCTGTTGCCTTCATCACATTATAATTAATTCAGATAGGAAAATCAAATCCTCCGCTTAAAGTGGATGGATTTTAATCTTATGAACATGATGATGATGATTATGATGATGAGTGATCACTGCACATCCCTTTTCTCCGCCTGAGAGATGACGAATAATTTGAGCGGATCTAGGTGGGGAGTAGTCTTGCAGAAGAGGAGGAGGAGGAGAAACTAATTGTGACAGGGACAGTTGCTCCCCCCCCCCCCCCCCAGCTTCAGCTTCATCATCATCATCATCACCCTCAGCAACAACAGCTTCAGCAGCAGCAGAAGCAAAAGCAGCGTCCGTCGACAGCGTGGAGAGCAAATAAGCTGCACGTATCTTCAATAGGCGCTCTACTCGACGGCGAAGATGGGGAAATGGCAGATTCAGCTGACCGAATGTAAGGACCAGGAAATCGGAGGAGATCTTCATTTATGATACAACCCCGGGTTTATGCAGCAATAGGAACAATTCAAATAACCATAGGTAAGATGTTGGCCCATACTGTGTTTTTTCTTGCTGCACCCAGTTAGGCTAATATTAGCCCACAAGGCAAAAAAATAACATTAATCCATTGATAACATTTGTAGTATACTGACTGTAGATTGGAAAGACCACCGAAAATTCACGCTCTTTGTACCAGTTTTAACCTGCATTAAACTAGATTTTAGTATCTTGCATTCATCAACCTAAAAGCTTATCTAAAAGAAAAAATTACGATCATTGTTCGCCTATTTCTGACTCAAATATTAAGAAAATTAGGTTTTTGAGCGGCTAAATATAAGAAGCCTTCCTTAAATTGTCTTTAAGTGCTCACAGCATAGATTTGCGGTGTCTTTTCAGACTCAGAAAGATTAAATGTTCCTTTTATAATGTCGTCCCACAACCCAACATCGTTTTGCCATCTTTTATTTTTAAGGATCAATTATAGGCTAATAATGTATATTTCCAAAAAGGAGGAGCATCCGCATGTTAGAGGAGAGAAGGCAAATAAGAGTAGGATCTGCCCCCTTGTGGTTTTGATTCATGCTGTCTGAAGTAACTACAGAATGACTGTAGTAGTAATAGAAAGCATGAAAAAAAACTAGTATTAACAACAGTATTTGTTCCTGATGTGTTTTTTTTTTACGGAATTTGTTTATTTTATAACACCATTTGTTCATCTGCTTTTAACTAAATCCCATCCAATGGCATCAAAAATCTCTCCTTACTGACGGGACCATTCAAACTCTTCAGCACCATTTAACCCTTTCGTGCAGTCCCTTTTCCCAGGGTTTGTTAATTTATGGTGTGCAACTCCATTCATCTCATAAGTGGCCCACATTCATGTATTGTCCCCTGCGTGGTTTCCTGTTATGTAATTTCATCCCCATCAGCCTGCATCAGCCTCACAATGTTTGCTGCCTGGCTCATATGAGCTCGCATGGGATATATATAGAAGTAACACAATGCAGGCGTAAGGCTAGGCAGAGTAAAGAGCTAAAAGAGATGGGGGTGATAAGTGTGTACTTTATCTGTGTGCATGTATGTGGGTACTTTGTATGTGTGTGTGTGTGTGTGTGTGTGTGTGTGTGTTTGAGAGAGAGAGGGGTGGATACTGGGAAAACAAGTGATGAATTATGCAAACATTTCGCTCTGTTTAAGAAAAGCTCTGTTTCAGAAAAGCTCTGTTTTGACTAGGGAATGAAATCAGACCACAGGGCGACAATGTTTGAATATTATTTTAGCACAACAACACTGCGATGATCTTTATTTCATTTTTCAGATTGCCCCTTCCGACCTGTAAAGAAACATGGATGTATCTTCATCCTCGCTGCAGTACGGATCAAAAAAGCGGGTTAAGATTCACCCAGATACAGTGACAGTGAAATATGCCACTCACTTCCCCCAGCCTGGAGATGAAGGGTACGATGACGCGCCCTCTTTTGAAGACTTTGGCGCCTTCGCAGATCCTAATGTGGGAAAGAGGCTGGTGTCAGACAGCAAAGGTGGCAGGACTTTCTTTGGAACCATGGAGACCCAGCCTAAGCTGCCAAATGTGCAGAAAGACAAGGGGGTTGGGGGCCAGCTGGCCAGCTTCGGCGAGGCGAATGTGTTGGCCTCCAGGGTGACCTGGATGGCCTTGTTCGGGGCAGCTGTGGCTCATGGTTGCGTGGCACTTATTACTCGTTTAGCAGCCGACCGCTCTAAAGTGCCCTCCCTTGAGCTGCTCTTCATCCGCTCTGTGATCCAAGTGCTGTCCATCCTGGTGGTCTTCTACTACCACGAGGCCCCCTTTGGCCCTAAGGGCTTCCGGCTGCGTCTCTTCTTCTATGGCGTGTGCAACGTAATCTCAATCACCTGCGCCTACACCTCTTTTGCCATAGTACCACCCAGTAATGGCACCATCATGTGGCGCGCCTCTACCACGGTCTTCAGTGCAATACTGGCCTTCCTGTTGCTGGATGAGAAGATGGGCTACACAGATGTGGTCACAGTGGTGGGAAGCGTGTTCGGTCTGTGCCTGGTCATGGTGCCAAATGTGGCGGACGAGGAGAAGTCCAGGCTGGGGTTTTGGAAGGAGGCATTTGGCTACACAATGACAGTGATGGCCGGCTTGACAGCTGCCCTCTCCATGATCATCTACAGAGCCATTAAAGAGCGCGTCAGCATGTGGACGGCACTCTTTACCTTTGGCTGGACGGGCACAGTGTGGGGTGCCTCCACCATGTTTATCATGCAGGAGCCCATCATTCCTCTGGATGGGGAGACCTGGGGCTATTTAATTGGGATCTGCATCTGCTCCACCGTGGCATTCCTCGGAGTCTACTATGCTCTTAACAAGTTTCATCCAGCCTTAGTTAGCACCGTGCAGCACCTAGAGATCGTGGTTGCCATGTTCCTCCAGCTCATTGTTCTGAGAATGATCCCGTCTGTCTACGATGTCATTGGAGGCCTGGTCATCATGGTCAGTGTGTTCGCGCTGACAGGGCTTAAGCTGTACAGGGTGAGCAGGGCCATTCGGCAGGATTATCAAGAGATCTTAGACTCTCCTATCAAATGAGTTTGGATATATCAGTCTATTTGTTTACAGTGTTGCTTGGTTGTGCAAAAAAAAAGAATGTCTGGATCTTCGTCTGATGATTTTGTATTGTTGTGTTGTTGGAAGGGTGCCAGTTGTGTAAGTAATGTCTTAATATTTGTGTGTGAAATAAAAGACAAATGTAATATGGTGACCATTTCCCCCTGATAGTACTGCTTTAATGTCAAATTGTGTCATATACCAAAATGTCAGCAAAAAAAAGAGTCAGTTTAACTTTTGTGATTTATTTTGCTCCAACATTTGAAACCACATTGAATCTGGTCTTGTGAGTAGAAGTGTAAGATAATCGTTTTAATAATATGGACCTTAACATCGAGGAGGTGTGGGGTATCCCTCTGTTGTCACACTGCCACACTTGTCACACTGTGTATGTGTCAGCCCAGAAATCGTTCATACTACATACAAGGAATGAAAGAATAAAAATAAATACCACCCATGTTTCATAAAATAACTGGTATTGCTTTTGTTAGCCTTAATCTGTCGATCTAATTTCTTCAAATAAAACACCTTTATAGAGGAGCCAGTGTATGAACAGGGGTGGATAAAGTGACTTTATGCGCTGGGGTAGAAACCCTGTCATACACAAAATAAGTGCTTTTATTTTATACAAAGGAAAACAATCTGCAATCTGTATTATTCCATATAATATTTTCTCCCAGAAATATTTTGTGCACAAACTACACCTTTCAGTGCTTTCTTTCTGCCTGTCACGTATGTTCTGGCCCCAGCAGCTGCTTAATATTTAACACTAGTGATTATATCCCAGGTTTGGCTTCTGTTTACTTTCAGACGCATATCAAACTAATATCAAGAGGCAGGTGCACTGGATTGAATTAGACCATCCGCTGTTTCTGCAGTGGACAATTCAGTGGCTTACCTCTGAGTAGAAAACCATGCTGAGGCAGTCAGTCTCTGCGGTTTCCCCGGGGCAAACCAACAGCGATGGAATGAAATAAAGACCTAATGATGATTCAGAGGGGATGAAAGAGGACATATCGCATGCTGCGGTTCAAAATTGACACAACATGAATGTTTCACTAAGAGCCCAGCAGGTGGCATTCACAATCCACGTCATTATTCAAGACTCAGCTGAAGTACTTGAGTAAATTATGAAGGCAATTAGTGGTATATCCAGTGGTTAACAGTTATTAGCAAAGGACAATGATTGCATCAGAAATATCTTAGCACATGACATAAAACACTTCATCCAAGCCCTTTTCATTTAGAGTGCAGAAGAAGGGTTATTTGACAATTTTATGGCTGATTGTAGACACAGTATTTCACCTGATAATATTATACATTTATAACACTCTGTTGAATGTTTAACATATTTCTATTGAAACTGGAAAATTGTGGTTATAATCACACACCTAGCAGAAGTGTTTCTGAAATCAAGTCATGCTGTGTGATGACAATACTATGTCATGTCACAGTAAATAAAATCTTGAATAAACATACAACGTCCTTTCATTTATAGCTAGAAGATGAACAACCACCATCATAAATGCATTATAATTAAAAATTGCCTGTTACTGTGAAAACCCATTCTGTCTGTTATGCAATGTTTTCTTCTTAAACACTATGGTCAGCAGCAAGTTTATTTTAAACTTGAAAGGTGAATAAACAGGGAAAAATGGGTTTAGTCTGTGTAATATGTGAATATGAGTTGTATTATAATCTTGTTTTGAGATGGGGTTTTGGGTGCAGAACGCAGAATACATGTAGAGGAGGCCCATCTGTTTGAGCAGGAAACAGATTGCATCCTGCAGCGAGCTGCGCAACCTTCCAAATTACTCTGCAACCCTCTTCACCACCACAGACATGTTCATTAGAAGTACCATCATTTCCCAGGAGGTGCCTGAATGGCATTTGATGATGAGTTATTGCATGTAGCCTTTGTGTGCTGCACAGTACAGATGACAGCCTTCCATTTTTTTAATGGAAGGCTCAAAAACACCCGACTTTTACAACTAGTAAATATATCTTTCTCTTCATCATTCAAGGCCATACCTGTTGTACAGACAACTTGCTGCCAACATTTAGTAAAAATAATTTAGGGTTTAAGGTGCGATTCACTTTTTATGTGAGCGGATTGTCCACAATGTTATCCTTTGTCCTTCTTTTTATCTAATTGTGGATTAAAAATAAAGTTGCAAAAGTGCAAAGTATAATTTTCACTCAATTATACAGCATGGCGACCAAGCTCCACTGGGTGCTGCTGTACATGCCTGCAACTTTTCTTCTGGACAGATGATTCTGGGTAAACATAATAAAACAAATAAAACACAAGTATAAAATAAAAACATGTATCTGTCTATCTCTCTCTTCATACACACGTTTCTTTATAGTAGTTGACTCAAGGCGACAAACGTGATGGATGGTCTAGGGAACGCCAAACATCAGCAGCTGCAGTGTGATTGACTGACAAGTCGTTGTCCAATCGAGAGAGAGTCGATTCCTCTGCAGCCAATTGGATTCAAGTGGGCGGGGCCTGGAGTCAGAACAGCTTGTGAAGCTGCTGCTAGCTAGCCTAGCTGTGCTGCTGGGCAATGACATGCTTTGATATAGAAATGCTATTCCAACGGGGCACAGCGTCTCATCAGCGAGGCTAGCTTGTTGGAGTGGGAAAAAATAACTGCTAGCTAGGATTTTGGATATAATCTGTGTGTTTCCATTTGTGGTTTGTGTGACGCCTCTATACGCTGATCCCCCCCCCTAAAGGACATAAGAAGAGGTGGCCATCAGCAATCGGGTAAGACGTGGTATGACTGAGCAGGGCATGAATCTTAGCTGCCGCTGACGGTGAAGCTATCTGATCCAGGCTACCGCACTAACGTTTCTCATCAGAGCTACAGGCTAGCTCCTGCTATCCTTGAATAACTCAAGTCGGCTAACAGTTAACCCAGACAAAAACAGTCTGTCTGCTTGCCAACATGGCCAACACACTGTTAACGTTACCCGTCGGGCTAACTGTTAGTTTGGCTGTAACCCGAGATATTTTTATCCATTTGTGGCATTTTTTTCTGGAGAATTTTCTTTAGCTGGGTTAACGTTAGCCAAGTTCGATAGCGTGACACGCTGTCAAGCTTAAGTTATAAGATAAAAGCTGCTGCGCGAGCTATAAATTTAGCTACACAGTGCACTGCACCACGTTAACGCTTTTATTTTCTGAGACTGAAAAATGGAGAAGACGCCTTCACGGTAGCCACAGTAACGTTAAACGCTTTAAAATGAAGTCTTATACAGTCTTCTGATTTACTGCACTCACAGCTTCTTGTTATTTTCTGATGCTTGCGTTATTTATGACACGTTAACTAATGCTGAAGTTGCTGGGTATTGTGCACTGATGGACCCAGCTTTGTCATGGTCACGATGGAGGCATTCCCTGACATTAACTTTTGATTCCCCTGTACTTGTGTTAAACAAGCCATTTAGCTCTGATTGTACACATTCATGGTTATTGTAGTCAAGTCTGTCACCTGTTGTTTGCCTCCTAATATGGCCTTTTGTTGGTGGAATTGGGGAGCATTTTCATTGTTCATTTATCTCCAGGGAGTCCAAAGTGATTGCTTCAGATATCTTGTTTTGGCTGAACAGCAGTCCTAAACCCAAAGATAATCTGTTAATGATATACAACAAAAGAAAGCTTAACATTGGAGAAGTTGACACCAAAGAATCACTTGTGTGTTTTTACTAAATGAGTTACATCAATTATCATAATTGTTGCTGATTCATTTTCTATCAACTAATCATTTCAGCTCTAAAAGGGAAACTAACATCTGCATACTCGTTGGAAATTGTTTCTTTTCATCTGCCTAGGGAGACCATTAATAGTTAGGCAAATGTACTGTGTAAGTGAAACCATTTCTGTTTTGGAGCAAGATTTTAGATAATTGCTCCCCTTGTTTATCTCCTAACATGGTTTCTACCTTACACAGCCAAAGTCATGCTTCAGTAGCACAATGGCCGATAAGGCTGTGTAATTGTTGGCAAGCCCTTGTGGCGTATGTTTGTGTGCCCTTTTTACTAAAACCTGTTCAACGGTACTGTGAAACAGTCAGCAGATTAATGCGGCTCGAGTATGTTATCTCACAGATATTCATTTGGAGCTGTGCGGTTGGTTAGATGTCAGTGATTTAAGGGGATAGCATGTGTGTCTTTCCGAACGCTGGGGGGGTAGTGGTCTTTTGCAGCTGCTGAATAGTATAGTTTCTGTAATTATTGTCACACTGACAGACCTCTTCACAGTCTCTCATTAAGGTTGCAGGGAGGTGAGAGGAGGGGGGGGGAAACATTTGGTCTGCTGTAGCTCTGTTCTCAGTTGGATTCAGAGGGAGGATGGCCACAGTTTGCAGGGAGAGAAAGATGGTGGAGAGCTGCTTACCAGCATGATTTGCTTGAAGGCTGATATTATATTTCTCTTGGGCGTTGAGGCCAATTCATAAGACATGTGGAAACTGCTATTAGGAGAACTGTGGAGAACATTTGCGCCTATCAGCTGCCAGGTCATGAGCTCAGGATAGAGGACTCCCCCTGAACGAAAACTTTCCCTGTTCAGCTATGCATGTTGATATTGCAGTGATGTGCCTCTGTTTTGTCCTATTTATAGTACTGTTGACTCAGATACCCCTTAACAGTGAACTTGTTTGCGTGTGATGACAGTATAATCTTATGCTTGTGCAGTGATGAGCCCTTTCTTTGTATAAGATCCTGCTCTTGCCTCTTTTTCAGCGCCTGCTATGCGCTACCAGTGGCCTCAAGCAGCCAAATCTGTCCCTACAGCCTAGGGGGAAAATACCAACTGTGCATTTTCGTGATGGCCAAAAAATGAATGTGGCTGAATGTTTCCCAGGAATCTATTAAGTTCTGTTGAAGTTGAGAAACAGGAAGGGGTTTTTCCACAGTTATGTCTATCTTGTCTCTTTTTGTCTCCCTAATCTCAGTTATTGCATATGCTCTCTTCCATTTCCTCTTTTTTTTAATTGTTTTTTCTGTCTGACACTTTTTCTTTTGACTGCCCATGCGTGCAACAGTTGATAACAAAGTCACTTTCTATATGTTAACCAAGGTTACCTGCTGAAAGAGGAATTTAGCCCTTTGTCAGGGCACAAAGAGCAGGAGCAGTAACGGGAAGACTGACAAGTCCACTTTTTCTTTTATTTTACCGTTATCAGAATCGACCTGTGACTCGAACAGTTGATTGTGTTTTGGTGTGATGAAATTTCTTCCCACTTCTGTAAAGCTTTTCGTTCTAGGCTTTGTGTGGTCAAGATATATGCTCTCATTTCTCATTTGGAGTAAGTGATTTGACTTCCTCATGTAGGAGAAAAGACGTGCAGTTTCAGTGGTGTTTTTCTCTATTAGTTCATTATGGTTCGGGGTTTTCTTCAGTTGGTTTGGCAGTGTGAAAATGAGGATGTGTGAAATTGCATCTGCGACTGTGATGACAAGTTGTTGTAGCCATGACAAATGAAAGCAGTGTTGTCAAATGGGTTCTGAAGTTTTGAGGCACAGCTGCATTTTCACTGACACACTCCTTCCTAGGTATTTTGTGGGAATTTATGGAACCAACTGTAGGGGTAGCTTACAGGTCTACTGCCTCAATTTTGGAAACATCAGAGGACCTTTTGATAGGGATGCACCGAATGTTCGGCCACCAAAATTTATCGGCCGAAAATAGTAAAAATAGCACTTTCGGTGTTCGGCCTAATAAGTCTAAAGACCGATTCAATTTTACCAAACAATTATGCTGACATGTCAGCAGTGTGGAAGCATTTTAAAGTGTCAGAGAAAGACGCAAAAATCGCCGTTTGCAGAAACTGTTCTGCTGAATTGTCTCCTAGCACATCCACACCATCTGTGTCTGACTTCTTAGAAAAGGCAACAAACGATCTGAACTGCTTTGAGTGTTTTTGCCACTTGTTTCTGAGAAGACGATTAAGCTAGCAGCACCTAAATTTGGAGTGCACACGTATTCAAGCCTTTAAGGTAACTGAAACAGACCTGTGCGAGCTGACAGGCAGGTTAGCGACTTTATCCTGTCAGTTTCTCTCTTTACAAAGACAAGTATGAGAGTCCTACCTGAAGAGAGGCTATTAAGTCTTCATGTTACGCAATATGAGAACCACATACAACATTATTTATCAAATTGGGTCGTACTTGATGAATTTAGCGCGAGGATAGACATGTGACAATGTCCGGTTTTCAAAATAAGGTGTCTATACAGTATGGAAATAAGATCAATTGGATTATATTCACAGAAAGTATAAAACACATTACATGTGTACATTAAAAGTAAATAGATACATGTAATTTACTTTACCGGACTTTACCTCTTGGGCCTCGGACCCATCCACCATAGTCTCTCCAAATGCTGTGGGAAACACTGAGTAAAAAGCACATTTTGACTATTTAATTTATTCAGTGATTAAAAAAATGGCAAAAATGTGAATGTACTTGTTCTGTATTCTTCAAATTTTATCATTCTATTCCTTTCGGCCTCGGCCAAGAAGTTTCATTTTGGTGCATCCCTACCTTTCGAGGACTTTGAATTAATGGTCAACTTGCTGTTCCATGCGAAGAACCGTTTAAAGGGCTCCTCGTATAGCTATATTATAAGGCAATATTCTAATCAAAACTTCTTTTTGGTAAATAATTTGGAGAGTACACGCCACCGCCAAAGTATCTGCACGGCCAGAACCTGCAACTTTAATGCTTACGCCATACCGATCAATTGTTCGACCGCGCCGTGGCTGCTCAAACTTAACGTAAACATTAAAGCCGTGGCCTGTTTTGTTCAGTGACATTTCCAATAAAGCTGATACAACAGCACCCTCAACACCTATCCATCCATCGTCAACCGCTTATCCTGCGTACAGGGTCACGGGGGGCTGGAGCCAGTCCCAGCTGCCATCGGGCGAAAGGCAGGGTACACCCTGGACAGGTCGCCAATCGATCACAGGGCGCACCGCCAACATTGCTGACAAAAAGACAAAAGGCGGTTTGCCAACATTTACAACTAACAATTGTGCCTTACCTTTGCTAGTCTTTATCTCAACTAGCAATCATGATTTAAGTTAAACGCTAACGTTGGCGTTACCATGTTTCGGGTGTGCTCCCAGGACACGATGCGAAAAGCGGGAGCTTTCTGCTCAGATGCTAAACCATTGAAATAATTACAGTCACTACCCAGAGAAGTTGAAAGGAGAAGTACGATTTATTCTCTTTCCAAAACCTAAATCCATAAAAATGTCGGCTGTGGATTGTTCCTAATATAATG